CAACATTGTTACTCAGGCACTGGAGGAGGGACCTGCCCTTTCTGTCTTCCACACACCCCCTCGGGCTGGCCACCGTATTCTTTTTAGCCACTTTGTGAACTACTATACTGACCTTCACCCCTATGTTTGTTTCCCCCTATTCCCCAAGCATACCTTTATGTAGCGGAGACAAACTTAGAAGGATACAGTACTTCGTCTCAGGGTGCCCACTAGTGGTGATACCAAATATCACAATCAAGAAAGTAAATTCACCAAACACCAGAATGGGACCCCCTGGGTTTAAGTTGTACTCTTCCAAAACACAGTTAACTTTAAACTCAATAACATTTCTATTTATGGGAATTACAGCTAGAAATTTTGTGATAATGTGTCTGTCTAAATTACAAAGTTTGCAAAAGCCCCAGCTTAAAGATTAGATCAGGTTAAATATATGCAAATATAAAACATGAAGTCATGTAAAAGCAACAAAAGGCAGGGAGATGCAAACTGCCCTGGACTAACATTTTAAAGGAGAGTTCATTTCCTAACATCATTTTAACATCAATGCAAAATTATACTATCTAGTCAGCTTTCACTTGCTACTCACATCACGAAACTGGCTCAGTAAAAATTATGCCTTAGAAGCAAATTAACGACCTAATTTATTCTCCATAACTCTATGTTTTGACTTACGAGTGTAATTGACTTGCCCATGACGTTCTATTTTCTGGCTCTTTGAGGTACAGCTGTCTGTATTTTTCCAGTTCTTCTTTCTCAGATTCTAACTGAAAAGTTTTACTTTTCAGTTCAGATTCCAGATATTTAATTTTATGCTTCATTTGACTTATTGAAGCATTTTTATATTCTCTTAACAAGTTATCTTCATACGCTGCTTGTGTCTAAAGCAAATTAAAAGGATACAATTTAAAAAATAATTATAACCTGAGTAATTACAGTGTATTCGTTCTCTTCAGTTTTGAGTCAATCATTCAGACAGCAATTTTAAATGTAAAAAAGCTGAACTTTAAAATATTTATCATCAATGTCAAGTGAATTAAATCTGAATTATGAAATTAAAGTTTAATCACTCATATCAGTACTCATGTAATGTGATAGCTCAAAGAATAACAGGATCAACTTAAAATTTTAAAAATTGAACAATACAACTTAAGAGTAATCCAAGAGTGTGGTACAATATTTAAATCACAATATTTTCTTTTCCTCCTAGGAGTCTTGACTTACACCAATTGGCCTTAAAAATGATTCTCTAGTGAGAATTGTTCTGAAAGATCAATTTAGTGATAGTAATGATGGAAATTGAATTATTTAAAGGGAGGAACAAATGCGGCCTTCCTTCCAGAAATCTACAAAACAAACTACTCTATGGGAAGTAGAGGAAACATAAAATGTATACATTCAACTGTAATTCACAGCAAAGTGAATTAGAGCACATTAAAGTTCACTGCTTCACCTGTAAAAACTGGCTGAGTTCTTTCAATGCTGCTGCTACATCCTGTTTTGCTCGCTCTTCAGTCTCCCGTTTGCACTGCACGACCTGACTGAGTTCTGTCAATTTTTCGGCTACATCCCA